GATTATGTCATCAATAAGTGGCAATCTAGTCATCAATAAGGGGCGATTACATATATGTCATCAATACACGTAAGTGGCAATCTACGTCATCAATAAACAGCAATTTTGTCATCAATAAACAGAGATTATGTCATCAATTAGCAGCAACAAGCAGTCTTTTCACCGAGAATGCAAACATATCTACAGTACAGGTATGCATCAGCGAGTATGTTGCTGTTAACATAGCAACAACCCTCAAATTTAAGAAGTACATGTATTATTATTTTATCAATCCATTTCTTTTCGAATATAGACCATGATGGAATAGTAAAAGGCAAAGATTAAAGTTGCTGAATTTTGGGGGCAAGAATGATGCAGTATTCCAACACATGAAAGTGTAAAACGGCAACAAAACAAGTTCTTGGGTTACAACCATGACCAAAAAAAACATCACTGTAAAACATCTTGGGGATTTCATCTAAAACCGGGAACACAAGACGGCAGCAAAAAAGCCTCAAAGGCGTTTAGGTGGTGGGTTGGCAGCTGCTTAAGTTTCATGTTACCAAGTTGAACTCAACAATGACAAGAACATCGTATCTCTCCGCTCTCAGTGACAATGCAGACATGACAATGGATGATTCCAACCACAAAGAGTGAAATGAAAGACACAATGTGGATGTTCTTTATTTCAAACATGTTAAAGGGATTCTGCAAACATTCCAAACATATTGACAACAATATCATGGGACTGAAATTCCAGACCAAGTTTGTTGGTATTTTAGTAATTATGGATCATCAGTCGGTATTGTTCAGAACTAAAAAAAACCCCACTATTTAGCAATACCAAGGCACTGTCGAATCCTATACAGGGTGAACGTGTAGAAACTGACACAGAACACTATCTTGAAAACTAGAGCTAATCAGAATTTTCAGCATCATGTCAATTCTCAGTGACCTAAAATGCAGGCAATTCACAAGGGAGTGTGCCATCAAGAGGTCGCAATGGAAAGGCCATTTTTTGCAGTGCACTGTGGGAAACAGTTGACAAAATTCTATTTGTCGGCTGCGCACAGTAACTCGAATTATTCCCAATGTTTGCTCATCAAGAAAGAAGATTCATCAGTGTATTTTGAGTTGCAGTGACTTGCTTCTTTTTACTGCTTCTGTTTACTTTCCCCAAAGTTGTCCGCAGCCATTTTCTTCACGACCGTAAACTCAACAAAAATGGCCTCTGCATGACAACTTCTTGGTGGTGCAATGTATTGTGAATTGCCCCATTAGCCAAGTTGACCTCCTTAGTTTTGGAAGCATTTTGGTCATAGACCAATGCAGTCAGAAAGGGTTCGACCGCAGAGACATAATCCTCATTTTGGCAGCCCAAGATTGCTTACCTTTTGAAGATGAGCACCTCTTGATATTTGGTGGTCTTTCTGAACAGGACCTCCTCCACTTTGTGGCAGTAGACCTGGCCATCCCAGACGTCGTAGTACCACCCATCCTTCATGAAGGAGCGGCCCGTCTCCATCTTCCCGATGATGAAAGTTGCCTGCCAATGAAAAGACTGACAAAATAAAACTTGAATTTCTATTCAGCGTTTCATCCTCACTTCCACCTGGGTGGAGTTTTCTACCTGAAACTGGTCAAACTACCTGGACAGTGCAGTGCGATTGACAGTTAGCCTGAAAATGGGAAATTCTCTTCATATTTTTTTTCTCTCTTCCCAGGAAATCCATTTTCATTTCACAAAGCTTGAAAACCTTTTTCACAAAAGAGTGCAAAGATTTTCACCCAGTTTCGCACGATTGGGAAAAGATTTTCAAAAGGTTTTTTTTCTGCAAGCAAGAAAACATTTCATGCCTTTTCACACGATTGGAAAACTATTTTCACGGCTGGTAAAATGTGTGCGTGAATACAAAAGTGACTTCTTTTCACAAAATATCCCTTTCAACTGCCCGGTAGAGTACATATACGAGTACAAAAAACAAATGGCACATACCGATAACCTTTGCATGTCGACCCCACACGTGACTCTTTCCGAAACAGAAGGTACACTGTATGCAATATACACGTGTACACGTACAGGAATATCGGAGCAGAAACCCAAATGAGCGTGGGTGCACTGCTGGTCACGGTGAGGCGCACAGTGGAGGACCTTTTAAAGTTTTGGCAAATGTTTAATGACCTGGTGCCTGGAAATGTGGGCGGGCTTCAACAATCTTCATATCAAACTCAAACAGTATTAATGTGTCGATGACGTCCTGCTGATCAAGGGTTCATGAAACTTTCGTACACGTGGGATGCAGTGGCGTGACTGGGGTATACATGTATCTTGGGGAGGGGGGCAACTTGGAGGGGTCCACATTTTCTAGAAGGGGAGGGGTAAAATCAATGGGTCCAGTCATAGTTAAAAAACTGGCCATTTTTCCCCCTTTCTCTAATCTCTGAGCAGGTGGGGAGGGGCTACAGAAATGGCCTTCGAACAAGTGCAAAGTGTGCTACTGCAGATGCCTTTTAAAGCCAGCTCTTCTGGTACACTTGCTAACTACATGTACAGGTGGGTCATTCTATAAATTCGGGGACCAAAAGTGTGACATTTTTGTGTCCCCTGTTGCACCTCAACTGTGTCATTTGACACTGGGCATACATGTATGTATGCAATGCAATTTGGCAAATTTGCATTAATTCTATCACTCTCCCAACTTAGAGAAATGGTTCTAACCTTACAAATGATGTGTCAAATGTGACAGGGACTAGAATAATTTGCACCCCTAATTGCTAGAATTACCCATGTCTGTGTCTACTCTTGATCCCTGCAATTATCCATTCCGACCTGACCTTTCTGCATCGACGTGTAGCTGCGCGGCCAGGGAGGAAAAAATTTCCCCCATTCACAAACTGGTACCCTACATACATGGACATGCAGCAGTCTCCATAACCTTCCCCGGTACCCACCCTTCCCCACCCCGTACAAATGAACAAATAAAGAAGAGGAAAGAAAGAATAGTCAAAGGGCAAGCAACAGGGCAATGGGAAGCGATATGATCATATATCACCAATAGAGGCTTTGCACAGTAGCCATCTTGCAGGCATTTCCTTTGTTTCGCAGTTAGACCTCCTTTGTGCTGATAACCCAGCGGAACAAAAACAATCGCCTGCAAGATGGTGGCCATGCAAACCCTCTATCCGCTTGAAGGCAAGTACACGTTACATTTGAATTGATGCTCGTTCCACCACCAATGGTTTGTCAGTTTGGCCCCCTTGCACAGAACACTTCACCATACTGGCCGGGGACTGTGTATGACTCCAAGGCCCCTAACCCCCTGGGGTGTATGTAAAATCATACTGAAATTGGAGGATTGAGGGCCATCAGGTTTAAGACCTATCTTAACTGATATGACTCCGAGGTCACCAAAGGCACATATCCAAACTGATACATGCGTAACAGTGGTCTTAGCATCCTTATCATGGTATCGCAATGATCAGTCATTGCAAATTTGCTCGGCCGAACAATGAAGACCCCTTCACCTCTCTGCAACCAGGGGGTACCATGGTATCACCTACGGTACCCTGTTCTGCTGTCCGTGGGAACACCGGTCAAGCTGGTCAATGCATTGGGCACTGGCGTCTGTATGTGCTCAGTGCACACATCCGTTTGCCTCAGCAGACGAGCAGGCTATGGCTCTGACTGACCACTGCTCACACCGACTGCGCAGCACTCAACAACTAACCCACCTGGCATCTCACACAATGAGAGGGGCGATTAAGGCCAAATGCACCGCATCCAAATGTCAAACAGGCAGAACTTTTATGGCATTTCATCCAAATGGCAACATTTACATGTACCATGTGCGGCTGGTTCAGCATCACCTCAGACATGACTATATGTACATGTACATGTACACACCTTTATACTGTACGTGTATATTTACGTGACTTTAACCCCTTGACGACAGGAATTTTTTTCCGAAAGCCGACTGCAAGAATTCCGGCCTCGCTTGGCCACAAAGGCCACCTGCCAAACCGCAAATTCTTGGTTTGTGGCCCAGCGTGCACTGCCCACTTTGAATTACACAGTGAAAAGGCTCATTGTTCAGTGGCATGCGGCTCTACTCACGCTTCCACATTCCCATTGCCTCCTTTCAAAGTGAGGACTATTGTGAAGCTGGTGATTATGATGCAAATTCAGTCTTTTCATTTCTTGGCTACACACAAAGGCCAATCACCATATATACAAGAGCCAGGGTCTGCCTTCTTTCACCATGTTCGCTCGAGCGTGGGTCGAGAATAATAGCTGAAAAGCGGGCTGAGGATCTCAATTTTTACGGCGGCTCTTACCATCTTCCGGCGCGGAGGGGTTAAAAGTACTAATACGCTGATCTGGAAGGTTACATGTATTTTGACTTGTGGCTTTGCAACCTGCACCACCGACAGCGGTTTTTAAAGCCCCAAAAGTTCTCCATTTCTCTCAACTGGGGAAAAAATCAACGAGGCTATCACTGATGGCCTCTTCTGATGTCAAAATATGACAGTGCCAGATTAAAATCAATAAAAAAGGGTCAAGCGAGGTCGTACGGAAGGAAATGAGTTAATCTCCCCATCCCCCCATCAGGAAAAGTCCCCCACTCCACTCTCAGCATGATATGGTACATCGTACCATGCATGAACCAATGATAGGAATAAAACATGTTCACTCTCCCCCTCCCATCATATGCCCCAAACCAGATGTTCATGCCATAAGCCGGCGGATCAGATGGGCACGGATTTTAGTTTAGTAATAAATGCAAGTTCCCCACAATCAACCAACAGAGAAAAAAAACAAAAGGGGGAGCTGGATGGTTTGTATCACTTGGGGGCACGGTTACATGTATGTACCGGCAAATACATGTACATTGTAGTCTTGAATTACCTCTGACGTGTTTCACTTTTGGACATGCGGTGTTGGAATGCTGAGGAATCATTGAAAAGGGAGAGGGCGGATGGGTGCTTTTGAGCACACAGGGGTATTTTAAATTCTTGTCAACAGTGGCGGAACGGTTTTAAAAGTGCGGGGGGAGCAGGCCCCAACCATTAGACTGAAAAGAATATAATTACGAAGTTGCACTGTACCACCAACGAAAGGGATAACTATAGTACCTTTTCAAAGGTGGGAGGCAATGTCCCCCCCTCCCAGTACTCGGCTGGATTTTAGCACTCTCTGATCCGACTTTTCCTACTCAGAATTTGGCATGAAGTGAGCACTTACAGATCGAAGAACAAGTTTCTGCCTTGGTTTCATTTTCTTGAATCCCTCTCGTTTGATATTTGAGGGGTTGGGGTGGGGGGGGTTGTTTTTTTGTTTTGTAACTGCCGTGACAAATATAGGGGGAAGAGATCCTTGGCACGTTCACCCTTGTGTAAAAAGTAAAAGAGGACATTTATTTCCCCCCCCCTTCACTCAACTGCAACGAGCAATTAACAAATTACACTTTAGAAAGCATGTCATTTAGAAATGCTCATGAGGTACCTGATGAAGCTTTACCTACACGTCCTTTTCAAACCAAGAACAAATGTACACTGTGTTCAATTTCGCCACGCGTGACAAGTTCCGTAAGCAGCGAGGCAAATACCGGTAGGCTTATTTATTAGCCCACTGCAAGGCCAATGTGCAACAGATGTGCTGGCTAATGTTGAAACAAAGCATTCAAGTTTCACTATCAATTAAATACGGGTACATGTATGTCAGACTACGACTGAAGACACAGCACTGGCATACCATCCCTGGGGGACGCCTTCCCCCCCTCCCCCTTGCCATTTTTGGGGGGATAGCCATAGGATCATCCCCTACCCCAATTTTTGTGCCAGGCAAAAATAAAACTGCTACCGATGATCATCAGCCTCATGCAATCAATTAAGAGACAGTAGTAGTAAAAAGGTACATGTACCTCTTACTCAACAATACATCAGCACCAGACCGAGTACTACTTTTACGACCGAGAAAACACTGCAACACACTACAACAAACGCAACTAAAAGCCAAGCTCTAAACTAGGTATCTTCAGGGGGATAAGTCCGGAGAAAGTAGAGACACAGGAAACAAACTTCTCAGCTTCATAAGAGACAAAAAGGACAAAGAGAATATTTTTGAAATGCCAGAAAGCAATCAAACCCTAGAAACTAACCAAACTGACTAAAACCAAAGACCTCACGTTGAAGATACTTAAAGAAACTAACAACAATTATTTAAACCGATTAAAACAAAATCAGGCACAAAAGCCAATGCAGTGTGTGAATAGTGGAACATATTGTACGTCTCCAGTCACCTTATCTGTTTATCTAGAACAAGGAAAGAACTTTTTTTTTGGTGTATTTAAACTGCTGAAACTTGAGACAACTTTTACATGAAACGGCCAAAAACAGTGGTCAAAACCCCTCAAAAACTGCAAAGCAAAGGAAGGCCACCAAAAACAAACATTTTACACAAAAATCAAACAGAAAACCAGTGACAGCATCCAACAGAACTCACCATCAAAAGCACTCAAGCATAAACAAGCAAAGAAAATAAAAGACTAGAAAAGTATATTCCAATCACAACATGGAGACACAATATCATCAGGATAAAAATGCATATTGTTGTGGTAGAACCGAAACAAGTGCTTCTAAAAATGATCTAACCGAAACCACTAAGTTCCCTTCAAAGTTAACCATACGAGCAGTAAATTTCCAATAGAAGACACCTGTTACTGCATTAACTTGGAACTGGCTGCGGTGATAAAGGCAAAACACTAACCCTTCCATGAACCTGCCGCATCTTCTGTGCACTGGACATGACTTTAATACAGAAGGCTCTGCTATATACTCACTAAGTATGTACAATGTACATGAACACGTACCAGTGCGTATATACACTAACTAGAGTAGAGTGGCCACGAGTCACTTATCGACATACATTAAATGGAAACGACACACATGTACGGGTAGGCGTAAAGGCAAGCAGAAAGGCAACTTTAGATAAGCAATTAAACATGTCTAGACTCAACGACCATCACATGTTTTAAATCAGAGTAACAGATTCTGGCTGTCTTCATCAGTCAACAGAGTACCATATTGGACCGAGAAAAGAGCCACCTTTGGGGCCATTTTGTTGTTTTGTTGTTACAATACATTAAAAACTTGCGATAGTCTTTCGAAGGGATCGGAACTAGAACAGTTGCCTAATAGTAACAGGGATGAGATTGACCAACAACAAAACCAGCTGAAAACAGCTGAAAAAAGGCATACAGAAGCTGAACTGGGAAAATCTCCTACACTTTTGTAAACAGCCAGCGAGGAAAAAAAGCTGAAATCCAAAAACAAGAAGGCTGAAATCAGCTAAATATCTGAGAAATCTCACCCCTGTAGTAACTTACATGTACCTGTACCAAGTCCACAGCAGACCAAATTTCGGTGCGGATGTTACAAATGAAAGGCAGCGATGGAACTGTGGCGTGCTCGCCACAACGCAGGCCTGCACGCTTGGGGTTTGTGAGGTCAAAGTCACAGGGGCAGAGCTTACCCTCAATCTCCGCGAGAAACTTGGCAGTGCTATTAAAGGGGCACCTGCATGGACAATAAAAGAGGCAGCAACTACAAATGCACTCTGCTACACGTACATGTACTGGTACATCCTCACCGCATCAAACCCACGGCTGTCCACAGCAATGCTGGACAAGGAAAAGAAGCTGTACGCTGAAAAAAATAAGAACAATCATCTATTCACAAGCAAAACTGGTTGCAGGCTAAATAACCCTTCAGAGGCAGCGCGATGACACTTCAGAGCTCTCATCTGAGGTACGTGTAGATGCATCATCGGTCTCATACCGCTGGCTCATCATCAGGTGCGGAAGAAGAGTCCGATATCTCCGATGAGACATCACTGTCACTGCTGACATCCGTGAGGAGATTGAAG